TGACATAAGAGCAGAGTCTATCACTAATTATGTCCCAAAAGGATTAGAAGAAATAGGCTTAAAGGCCATCAAGTCCAGGGGCCTTGAATGCTCCTATAGTGAAGACAGTATTCTTGATTTCAATGTTAGTGAGCTCGCAATGAAGGTCAGTCATGGTAGCATAGTCAAGCTTATGAAAGTTTGCAATAAAGGAAGAGGGATTGGTGACAGAGTTATCATGAGAGTAGAGATTCTTATAAAAGCTAGAGCTCATGGCTTTAAGAAAGTCAAGATCTAAAATCCATTTGCCATTGTCATCTTAGAGGCTTTCACAACGGTTTTTCCTTTTCTTGGCTTTAGCTAAGGCATGAAAATAATGAGTGTTTTTATCTTCCCATTGGAGCCAATTACATTAAGATTTTTAGTACCAAATGAGTTCTTCCTAGGTAGTGAGTTTATTATATTCAGACCAAAGATTATTTTTCTAATTTATAGAGTCTATTTTTGTCACTTTTCTATCGGGCCTTATCAATACCTTTAAGACGACAAATGATTGTATTCTTCTTCTTGGGGGTGCTTTCAATTTAGTTTTTCTTCTAGTTGGAGGCATTGGCAGCAAAAGCTCTAGTGCCTTCAATCCACGGGACATTATTCTAGGAATCAATAAGGTTGGAGAAACCTTCTTCAAGAGCCCAAGCAGCATGTTAGGCAAAGCATTAAACACAGGGGCATATGGGTTCAAAGGGGCTTTTAGCCAGAGTGATGAGTCTATGATCAGATTTAAATCAAAGTTAATAATAAACTTTTCAATCATTAAAGTTCTCTACCCATGAGGAATTGCACAAGGCCTAATCAAGACACTCCTTAATATGGTTTCTTTTCCATGTGAAAGGATCACCCACTAAATTAATCTCTCTCAAGCCAACTTCAGAAATGCAATTGGCAAATTGATCCATGGATGACCAATTAGGGGGGCCACCTTTAGACTTATCAAAAGTGCTTAAATAAGAGTTGAAATCAACTAGGAGAAGCCAATAACTATCAGTAGAAAGAGTAATGTCTCAAATTTTTTGCCAAAGCTGATTACATCTAGTTGGATTAAGGTCACCATAAATAAAAGATATAGAGAAAGAAGTACAAGAAAGGCAGTCGGTGACTTGGCAGTGTAAAAGTTGAACACTAGAAGAGATGTAGTCAATAGAAATTTTGTCATTACATTAAAAGACCCAGATGCCACAGCATAACACATGGCTTCTAAACAGATCCAGTTAGTAAATCCTAATCTACAAACAACTTTGTTAGCCTAAGACCCACTTATATGAATTTTGATAAGGTAGAGAACATTGATTGAGTACTTAGCAACAATATCTCAGATAGTACAGGGGAAGGTGTGCTCAGTGGCACCTCTACAGTTCCAAGAAGCTAGAATCATAAAAAAATAACAACAAAGAAGGGAGTAAGGCTTATTGGCCTCTCTTGAGTCGCACAATTGCGATAGTGTCATTCTTAGGTAGATTTGCCATGGCAAGAGCAGACAGCTCAAGACCTTGCATTTCTTCCATAGATCCATATGGTAGAGTTTGGGCGGGATTTGAGGGTTTTAGTGGTGAATTCTTTGTAATAGTAGGCTTGGAAGGAGAAGGGTAGCTACTCATGATTTTCACAGACTGTAAATGCTGGAGGTGAGCACTTGCACCTTCCTTTAGATAGATGGGCTTGTCCTTATTAATCAATCCAGTTTGATTAATCCAGCCACTAACAACAACATAGGCTCTAGGTCCCTGGCTTGTTGGGATGGAGGGAACAACAATGTTTCAGGCCAAGCATCCATCCTTAGTCTTAAGGGGTATCTTGGGCTAAGGGTGTTCTTCAATCACTAAGCCCAGAGGGTGTCTAGAATCCTTATTTTTAACTGAAGAGGTAGGTTTTCCTTGACTCATTGAAGTAGTAGAAGCAGTCTTAAAAGGATGGGATCTTTGATTAGACTTAGAGGATTTATTGACCTCTTTATCTATGCTGACATAGGCAGTTAATCCTTCCCCATTTTTGCTTGGGTATTATCTTCAAGTACCATGGCATCATCAGTTTCTTTAAGGATAGTAAAGCCATTCTGTTGCTTCAGACATGTCTCTTTCATCTGTGACCTCAACCTTCTCCTTTACCCACCTAGGCCATTTTTCATTGTCTCTCTTCTTAAGAGTTGAGGTTTGAATGTATTTAGGGAAATCATCCAAGAGCCATGGATGTTATAGATCGACAGAAGGTTTTCTATTGACTGTGATGAAACTGTCACAGTATCTATTGAGGCTTGAGAGTGGTAAGGGCATAGCTCTTTATGATGACTGTAATGCCCACAGCTGAAGCAGATGAGGTTGAGACCCTCATACTCCACATTGAAAATTTTGTTGGCAGCAATGACACATGGGACGAGGCATTTTTGGAGATCAAGTTCAACGCATATTAGACCAAAATGCCCATATTCAGTATTGGAATCAAGGATGGTCTTCTCAGAGAGAGTATTCAAATCAACACGTAAGGTTTGACCAATATGATTTTCAAGCCTCTAAATAAAATGCTTATTGTAATACATCATTAGGATGTTCGAAATGTGAACCCAAACAGCCATTCTACTTAGAGTGTTGATCATAGGATCAAAATATGGGGTCCAGCATTGAACAACTAAGTAATGTTTTTAAACTATCCATGGCCCTTCGAAGAAAGAAGTTAGTTAATGTCAAAGGTCTTTATTGGTGAATCCCATTATGAAGTAGTTGTTAGGTAGATTGACAACATGCAAGTCTTGCATTCCTCATAAATGCATGAGCCATGATTTCATGCTATTAAGGGTCATTCTCTTGGCCAACATAGTCATGACGAGGCCAAAGTTCCATGATTTACACCAGTTGCTATATTCTTTCTCTATCACTTCAACGATGGGATAGTGGTTCATGAGTTCTTTTAAGCTTAAGATGGTTTAGGAAGTTTCCAGTCAAAAGCTTCATCTTTTTGCAAGAAGTCCTCACAGTCATCATCACAAATCATAGTCCTATTAGCTACACCATTGTAGCCTAAAAGTAAATCTTTATAAGGGATGATTTTTCTTTCAAAGTCGACTGAAGGCTGTGTAGTGTTAATCTGATGAGAAGGAACTGAATCTTATTCCATTAGAGAATCCTGGGAGGTAGAAATTTCTTCCTTAATGACTTCCATGACCTGATCTTTAGTAGGGGGATCAAAGGACAACAATGTTTCCAAAGAGCCCTTCTTTGCCTTCTTAGTATTTTTGGAGGTCTTGAGAGAATTCATTGGCCGGTCTAGAGGTTGTTTCCAGTGGCCACCACTTTGGGGAACCATTGTGAGTATTAGCATGCAAACCAAGAGAGAGCAAACTAGAACCCACTTAGAACCTCTATTATTTACCCTTTTTTTATGTTGTCAAAAATAAGATACAATGAATGTGTTAATAGGCTTGCGAAATTAACTCATGAAAATGCTGTTAACATTTTGTATTTAACTAAACCCTAGAGTATACGATGTTGATGAATTTAGACAAAGAGAGGATGTAATTATCCTGTATAAAAGGTTGCTTATAGCTTTTTTTCTTAAAGATTGTTGATATTATTGTTATGGCATAAATTAAAGGTGGTAGAAAACATTTAGACTAATAGAAAAATTAAAGAAATTGTTATATTTTGATATCAGGTGCATTGATTACGCACTTCGAGTTATTTCTATACCTTGATTTCTGCAAATGCATGAAGAGCCTTTTTTTTTTTGTGGCATCCAAACTCTTCAATCATGTTTCCAAATAGTTGAAATGCAGTCAAAATGTGTGCTTTTGACACTAATTGCAAATTATTATCATGAGTTATAAATGACATGAGTTAATATATCAATAATTATATAAAACTTGACAGATGTTCAATTATAAGTAATAATATTAATTATTAAATTTTTAACTTTACTTATTAATTTATTAATATCAATTATAAATTACTAACAGGTATTGCAATTTATAACTGATATTGATAAATTAATAAGTAAAGTTAGTAAATGTTACTGCTTATCCAACAAACGAATGTAATTTATAAGTGATATTGGTAAATTAACAAGTGAAGTAAAAAAATTAACAAACATTAATTCTACATAACAAGTGAATGGTATTTTAATTTTTTTAAAATTAAAATTATTTTTACTTTTGTTCCTCTGGACCAAACTAAAATTTTAGACTTTTTTGAGACTCGCTAATAATTATATCACATCTATGATCCTTATTTAAAATTCTCCCTGATAGAATTAGGAATTGCATTCAATGCTCATTGCAAAAGATGAGCATCACATGCTCATCAAAGCCAAAAGCAATCCCAGCCCTTCATTTCAATCTTATTTAACCTTTGTCGTCCATTTAAATTAATTTTTTAAATATTTTTGATATTATATTTATTAATATAAAAAATATAAAAAAATTTTAAATTTTAATATATTTGTTTATTAGTAATCTAACCAATACAAATTTAATCTAGCAATCCAATTTAATATTAAAAAATTTATAATTTTATAATTTGACTATACAAATAGGTTTTATATAGTTCAAGTATAATTTAGATGACATAATTTAATACTAAAATTTATAAATTTTATAAATTAACTACTTAAATGCACTTTAAATAGTCCATATGTAATGTTAAAATTTTTTATATTTTTTATTTTAACAAATAAAATATTAAAAATATTTAAAAAATAATTTAAATAGATGATAGGGGTGAAATAAGACTCAAATAGAGGGCCAGGAGCATTCGGTGCCGCGGACAGGATAGAATTATCATATATGTGAAAAGACTCAAAGACTTAAAACTTGCGAAGGAAGCATGGCTAGGGAAAAAAAAAAAAAACCAAAATTGCAACTTGCCAAGGAAGGAGGTTGCGAAGGAAGTATTGCTCCAAAATAATTTAAAACATAAAAAAATAATACTTGCGAAGGAAGGAGGCGTATTCCTGGAATGAGCCAGGCTGCAACGGACTTGGATAGCTTCCAAACTCTCAACTTTTTCGTTCAACAAGACGCGCAAAAATATTGATTAATTAATTTACCACTAAAATAAAGTATGTAATGATACTGTTCGTTAGCGTTTTCTATATAACAGAGTCCATTTACGAAGTGCTGTGGCCTCTTCTCATTTCACTCTCCAGTCTCCACTCAGGTACGTTCCTTCAGTGCCTTCTCCTTCTCTGTTTCGTCACTTTACATTCAAGTGGTCAATTGATATGCATATAACTATTGTTTAGAACTTGTTATTAAAATACCTTGGTATTAATGAGCTTCATTTGCAAACATGCAGATAATTGCGATTATGATATGAAAATGGTACAAAAAATTTGCCTTGTGCTTTTTGTTTTCTTTTCTTGATTTACTTTTTCTTATTGCTGTAATTGTCATTTGCATGTTGACACCTATTATCATGTTTAGAGTTTAGACCACCCAAACTGGACAATGTTGTTCTTCAACTTAGTTATCTTTTCTGGGATATGTATATCCTACTTAAGTGTTTCTTATTCTTTGCACTAGTTATATACAGCATTGTTAATCATGGTTTTATAGTTTAAATTGCTAGGATCAATATCTTATGTCCAAATGGGTGAGCTCTCATGGATTACTTTCCTCCTCATTATTTTTATTTCCTAGTGTCATTTTTCATTTGTTTTGATTGTTGTGGTCCTCTAAGAAACATCACTAATATCAATATTATATATATTTTAAATCATTCAGAGCATGGATAATGCACTATTATTTGCTTCAATGCTTAACGCTTTCTTTGTGCCTTTAGGTCCCAAAAAGTGGTATTGAAGTATAATTAGCATGGAAGACTCCAGTCAAAGTGGATTCAAGTGTGATGAAGAAAAGGCATTAAATAATTTGCTTGATGCATTTGGCTCTGCATTTTCTCTTGAAGAAATAGCTTCTGCATTTTGTAAGGCCAAACAGGATGCAGACTTGGCTGGTGTATTATTGTCTGACATGCAGATGAGCTCCTCAACCTCAACAACAAATTCACCTGATGCTGATGCCGGGGTTGAAGCATGTGCAAAATCATCAGATGGTTTCTCCTCTGAGAATTCCTCTCAAGAAGGATATTCCAAGGATCCAAAGCCCGAGTTTCACCCACTTTCAGTAGGCACTGTTTCAAGCAGGCTTGGTAAGGATTATGTAAGATCCATCCAATCATCAAATATGTCTCATCATGGAACGACTAAGGCATTGAAGTTGGATGCAAATTTGCTGGCAATGTCTGAAATCCTGGTTGCTGACTGTGAGCCAAATATTTCAAACCATAATCAGCCTGACCAGGACATGAAGATTTCGTATTTAAAATGCTTGGACATGGTTTTCAGCTTGACAGAGAGAAGATACGGGAAGTTCTGGGTATATAAATTTCGAGGATTTTGCCTCTAGTACTAAAGCATATAGTCTTTTTTTTTCCCTTATTCACATTGTCTACACATTACATGACATGCAACCTTTTTTCCACAATAGACCACCATTTCATCAGTTCTTTTCCAATCATAGAAATCTCAACTGGTTACTCAACCCATCTTTATCGTTAAATTAATCCGGTGACTGGTATTTTCCTACTAATTATTCATTGGCTATTCATCTGGTGACTGATTTTTCATTCTGTATAGATTTCAATGGTTAAACTATTTGATCCTGCAACCTTGTCTTGTCACTTTAAGTTCAAGTGATCTGTTGATATGCATATGACATACAAAACTATCATGGTCCAAAAGAAAAGCGTGTACAATAATTATCCTTCATTCTAACTGTTGTTTAGAACTTGTTATTATAATACCTTGGTAGTAAAAGCTAATGAGCTTCATTTGCGAACATGCAGATAATTGCGGTTATGATATGAAAAAGGTACATAAAATTTGCCTTACGTGTTTTCTTTTCTTTTCTTGATTTACTTTTTCTTATTGTTGTAATTATCATTTGCATGTTGACACCTATTATCTTGTTTAGAGTTTAGACCGCCCAAACTTGACAATGTTGTTCTTCAACTTGGTTATCTTTTATGGGATATGTATATCCTACTTGAGTGTTTCTTATTCTTTGCACCGTGAGTTATATAAAACATTGTTAATCATGGTTTTATAGTTTAAATTGCTAGGGTCAATATCTTATGTCCAAATGGGTGAACTCTCACGCATTACTTTCCTCCTCATTATTTTTATTTTCTAGTGTCATTTTTCATTTGATGACATTGTTGTGGTCCTCTAAGAAACCTCACTAATATCAATATTATATATATATTTTAAATCATTCAGAGCATGGATAAATTGATGGGCGAATCAATTTTAACTTCTGATGAAGTGGCACGTGTCGTTGGCGAATTTTCTGGAAGGGTAAGTATTAACATCAAGATTATCTTAAATTGAAGCTCATTAAGTTGGGGTGCTTCTCTGTGCATGCTTACTGTATATAATATATTTTGATCTATATGTTAGCTTACTCCTGTTCTTGAATCTGAAAGGGGAAGTAAATATCTTTATATCAAGAGGATTTAATTGTATGTCTTTTAGGTGAGGTAAAGCAGCTTTCCCTTGCAGGGTAGAGGCTAATTGGAAACATTATTGCATCTTCAAAAATTTGATTAGATGTTTGTCATACTTATGCTTGAACATTTAAGTGCTAATATGGTTTTGCTAATGAAAGGAAAAGGTCAATTTCATTTTTGGCGTTTGAATTTCAGATGATTTGTGCATTTTGAAGTAGCCAATGCCATTGCTTCTTTTTCTTCTTCTTCTTCTTCTCGAACCTTGTAAAGTAGAGGAAGTAAATAGTTTATAAAACTTACTGCTATCAAGGATTGCAGAAAGGTTTCTATGAAATGTATTTTCCCTCCTTTGTTTTATAAATAACTGGTTTATTTCTCTGTTTGGAAATCTATTTTATGTTTATTTATATTATTGCACTTGACTATTGTCTGAAGAAGAAACCTAGCTTTTTGGGCTTTTGTTTTGTTGAGGTGTTATGTCCTATAAGATCTTTTACATCCATCTTTTTCCGATGTCCATTTTATGATTGCCATGTGTTTTTTTTAATCTAACTGTGCTTTCACAGTCGACAGATAGGGAACGAAAATCTGAAGTACCTTCATATGAAATAAAGTCACAGAATGTAAATTATCCGGGGTATGCTCCGGCTTTCCATTTTCTTTCTTTTCTTTCTTGCATCTGTTAATATCTACTACATCTGTCAGCATGGTTACCGTCAAAGGAAAGTGAGAATCTCCTTAGTCTTTTGCTTTAGTTGGCCTTGTTCTGTAATGGAACGATCAAACATTTTTGTGTCTCAGTTTGGTTTCTCTGTTTATTTGGATCTAGAAGCAAAGTTTCAAACGATGGAGTTGATTTACATTGGCACAGGAAAGATAGAGAAGAGCTTCAGCAAGAAGTCTTGACTTCTTTGTCTCAAATTTGTGAGCATTCTGAAGAGTCTTCTAAGAAAATAATTGAGGGTGGGAAAAAGCTTTCACCTTACAGAGAAGTGGTAAATGAACCTCCTGAAGACTCCCCGGAAGAATACGAGACTGACACAAATTACTTGGGACAAGAAAACATAGGTGGTAGATAATTTTTCCCTCAATCTTTATGGTCTTTTTCTTTATTCTGTAAAACTTGTTTCTTATGACTCTGGTTTTTAAAAGCCACTCCCTAGCCAGCTATTGTAACAGAAATATTAAGTATAAGATACGTAGAATGTGAAAGTTGAACCCTTTTTTCCCTATCTGAAATTATTCAATATGCCATCTATGGTGTCCGAATATATCCTTGAATTAAAAAGCCAGTGATTGCGATCAACTTGAGTTTGATGCATGCAAATTATTGACTTGGTAGAACTATCTAAATAAATATGTATCTGTTAATGTTTACAGCATGCATTTTCTGTGGCATGTCAATCGCTTTAATTTAAAGGATAATTTTTTTTTTATAGAAATTTAAATATGGAAACCAGTTTAAATTCGGTTGTCTTTCTTGGGATAAAAGTGAAAATACAGACATCAGGAAATGTTTAGTATCTTTTCCTCGATCCATTATCATCATGCTTGTGCATGACTTTTATCGTGGTCAATTTATGAATTTCTTGAGTTATGCAAGGCAATCTTTGAAGCCTTCTTTGGCTATATAGTAGTGATTCCATAACTTCACTTCATTCCTAAGCCTGAGAATGATCCATTGCTTATGTAAAATATGACCTATGTTTATCAGATCCGGAAGATGAAGATGAGTACCAGAATCTCCGTAAAGCTGTGAAGGAGTACCGAGCAACAATGATTGAATATCATAGAGCAGTAAATTGCATTCTTTGTTCCTGTTAATAGCACTGAAGCAATTGGATCCAATTTTTTGGGCCTTTCTTGAGTCTAAAGTAGACTTGTTGATTACTTGTCAGGCTGTTGATGCATCTGTGAAAGGGGATTCTGTCAAAGCAAAGAAACTTATGGAGGAGGTAGAAAAGTCATAAACAGTGCCGAATGATGAGTTCCATTATGAAATAAAAGTCACTGCTTTCTATCATATTAATCAAGTTTAAGATATCTAGGGTTGTTATTACCATACCTCAGAAATGATTGTTTGAATTCAATATACAATTTCTATAATATGCTATACTTGCTTAAAATATATCATTCTAAAAATGTATTTTCTGGTGATGGCAGGGGCAACTTTTTCTCACAAAAGCACGTGAAGCAGATGACGAATCTAATAAAATGATTGTTGAAACTAAGTTTGTGTCTTCTATTCTAAAATATCCTTTGCCTGCTCATATGTTCTCTTTTACTATTGTTAAGGGGATCAGCAGGAAAACTTTTCTTCTGCTATATCATGTCTCTTGTTATATTTATTGGCAGGAATGGAGAGTCACAAGATTTTATGGTTGACTTACGTCAACAGGGTCCGAAGGAGATTTTACGAGTAATAAAGTGCCATTTGTCTCTATCTGGTATTCCATGTGAATTATGATTGTAATCTACTGAGTCGGTGTGGTCTTCAGGTCCTAATAATCTTCTAATTGTTTTTATTTCATTTAAAAAAAATTGCTTATTATCTCCAGCTGCTTTCAAGTACCTCAAGGTTATTATTGATGAAAGTAATCAAGATTTCTCTGAAGGTTCTCCGAGTCAAAAAAGAAAAAGACGGGTAAGATCAGCTAATTTCTTGAAATTTAATTTTAGAATATTATTACAGTTTTTGGTTTTATGGTTTTTTGGTAGAGAACATTTTAAGTAGCCTAGATGATAATTGTGATATTTTTTAGTAAATTATTACTGATGCTACATTTTCTTTTTCCTTTTTTTTTCACGAAATAACTATTCCCGTTGCTCCTTTTGTTTAATGGCTGCATGTATGTTGGCCATCCTAGGTAGCTCCTCTTTTCCTATGCATGATTAAAGATAAGTTAAATCACCAGATGAACCTGTATGTATTTTATCTTTGGCTATCACGTGCTTTTACAGACAAAGAACTGGAGAATATCAAAGCTTGAGTTGCTATTGTATCTGATTATATATTTTATTTTTTATTTTAATTAATAAGAATTGAGAACTGAGAAAAATGAAAAATCTGAGTAGTTTACTGTCTTCTGATTTTCAAAATTGCTTCATTGCTTGATGCTGCATGTGATTTTATTATCTAGCACCAACTCAAGTTGTTTAAGTTGCATAATTACTTTTGTTGTAATATCTCTCATGTCCTCTGCAAGTGATTCTTGCACAATTAAAGTTAATCACTTACTGTTCTTATGTTTTGGACAGATCGTGAAGCTGTTAGAAAAGGAGTCTTTAGCGTGGGATGAAGGGGAGACTGTGGGTACAATCATGGTCTGCTTGGATAAAATAGGCCATACAAAGCCAGAGTAATGTGCTCATTGGCATGGAACCATTAAGTGCTAGTTACAGTACTTGGTCTTGAGCATGAGGCCATGAATGAAAATTTGGGTTTTCTTCATTTGAGAGAGAGAGGGGGGGGGGGAAGTTGGATTTGAGTGTGTTGAGGTTTTTTTTTTTTTTTTTGTGAATAGAAAGTGTGTTGAGTGTTGGTCATTTCGTCTTCTGTTGTCTGAAGCATATGCGATGAACATCTTGAAGAATTAATAGTTATCATTGCTGCTAATTTCACCTTTCCTTTTGATCTTCTCAAGCATTCTGCATGAAAATAAACAATCTTTATAAGGTGAGTACGAGGAACGTTGATGTTTGTACTATGTTCATACCTTATTGACAGAGTTGGCCATTTAAGCGAACTAATGCTGTAGCTATTGCATCCCTCTTTAATCTTGCAAAAGAAAAAAGCTACATCTTAACAAGAACAAGGCACATGTTAAGTGTTTGGTTTCTTTTACAGCATTTTTTTTTAGTTTGATGCCTTGGTTCTAACATGTGAAACACCGAGCCAACTGCCATATTCTTCTCCAACATCAGACTCGTTCTCCATCTCTCCATCAGTGTAGTGACAATTCTTCCCGTCATGTCCTATACGACCGCACTTATAGCAGAAAATGTGCAGACGTTCATAGCGAATCCCAGCCCAAACTGGCTTCCTCTGTGGGCGGGGAATCCAGAGTCTAATCAATAATGGTTCATTTAGATCAATTACTCACTCGTGCACAGATAAAGTGTTAACTTTGGTATCTCAATTCATGTAAAACAAATAAGATTGAGTGAAGTGATGTACATACCTAAAGAATTCATGATTGATTGTGGTGCATCGATTATCTCGAGTATAAGCAAATATACAATCCACTTTAATTTATAAAGAATTCCGAGATAATAGAGATAATAAAAAAATGTATCATGTCGTATTGGTTACTGACTGATCACATTATAGGAAACACATTAGTAACCGCCTTAATGATTAATTAATAAATTAAAATTTCTCATCATCTTTGATTTGGTTAGTTAAGGATAAGAAATAACTAACGGCTACAAAGTTATAAGTTGAGCCTCTAAATGGACTCACTTGTGTGGTCCACCTATCACAATTCACACAAAATCATAAAGATCAATTTATCAAGACTTAATATCTAATTAATGCAAATCCATAATATATATATATATATATATATATGTATATATGTATTTCATAAATATTCCAACATAAAAGTCCTAGTCAATCTGCCATTAATCATAGGATTTTCATACATGACCACTTCACCAACTGGACTTCCTAACTGATCTGCATTTTTTTGGGTCAAAAGCGCCGTGTGGTAGTCCATGGAATTGCACCCGAAAATGGCATTTGGAAAAATCAACCTCACTGTTGACCATAAAATGATCCCAATGCTGCAAATTCAAGAGAGAACCTTGGATTAGCCTGGGGTGATCCTTCAAAATTCTGATGTAAAAGAAGCAATTGAACCTAGATGCTTAGTTCAATTGATTGAGAAAATTTAATAACTTATCCCAAAATATACAATCACATTAAATAAGAAACACCCACAAAGCCGTTATTAGTATTTGGTAATAAAGATTCCATTACAGTTGAAGTTTAGATTAGCCTAACGGTAGTGATACCCTTGATTTCCTTAGATACGGGACATTGAATTTTTTTTTTTTTAAAAAAAGGAAACAATTGATAAATTCATATACAATTTGAAAATTTTTAAAACTAAGTTCAAAAACCTGAAGCCTCAATTGAATTTATTTTTAATTAAACACCTTTTTTATCTCATTCTTCTCATATTTCTGAGTTATATACGTAGCATGTTCAACTTAGCAGAAGAAAAAATATGAAAGAAAAAAACACTAATAAAAAAACAATGCTTACTTGTATGTAAAAACAAGGGCGTTTTGTCAATTTATTTTTTAACAAATATAACCAAAATTTTTAATGGGAATTTTTAATTTAGATGATGTTATTTTTATTTAATCTCGAAGTATGATAGGTTTCTAAAATAGAAGGTAAACAAAATTAAGCTTCGTCTTATGCGACTAATGAATCTATCATCGGGTTATTCTGACTCAAAATAACTTGATTTGGGATTGGATTAGGTTGGACTATACGGGATGAACTGGGTATAGGCATGAAACTTGTTCTCAAGCATGGGCCCGGACTTCAAAATAAAAGGAAGGAAGAATGACAAGTAAAAACTTTGTAAGAAAATTGATATCAAATCAAGATTTGTAGTGTTGAAGCATGGAAGATGGAGTACTAAATTTGAGGACGTTGGTGTTAAAAAATTCTAATTTGACCTTAATATTTTTATGGGTCTTTACTTATCCTTCTCTCTAAAAAGAAAGGGAAAAGAAACAAGCAAAACGGCCAAGAAGCATGTACAAGCAGTGAATCGAAGCAACGCAAACATAGGATTAGGGGCAGTGAAAAAGCCTGAATAATCAAATCTAATGCCGCCAGGGACAGATCTAGAAACAATTATGTGGGGGGCCAAAATGCAAAAGTCATGATAGTGGGGGTCATAATTAATTTAAGCATTTTTTACAAATAAAAATTAAGTAACTTTTACAAAAATTTTGTGACTGGGATGGGATGTTAGTCCCTCTTAAATCCATCCTTGATTATGGCGCACATTTTTTTGCATCCAGCACCACATTTGACAGTACGAAATTGACATTAGGAAAATGAAGATGATACTGAAAAAGTAAATTATTTGATACAATAGATTTCATTTTTTTAAAAAATCAATTTTTATCAAAATTAATCGTATTAACTTTTACTTTCAAAATGGTTATTATAATTTTTTTAATTATATTTCTATTTTATTTATTATTCTTATGGGAAAAATTGCACATTAAAATTTCAATTATCATTATTGATGTATTTATATAAAATATTTAATGAGAGTATAATTAAAAAATATACAAATATTTTTTAAAAAATAAAATTCTAGTTAATTTTTTAAAAAATACGAGTAAAAAAATAACAACCAATACTCTATTACAAGAAGGAAGTAATAAATAGTATCTTTCCCTTGTATGAAAAGCAAGTTTTATTTCTTTTAATTATTTATAGGTTAAAAAGAGAGAAAATGGGGGCCCTCAAAGGAGGAGAAAAATGGAAAGAAGAGAAAGGGAACCAAGGAAAGTAGAGGTCGTATGCTATCATCATTAATTACAGCCTTTCAAAGACCACTCCCCGTACCCTACAAGCCATTCCAAACCCTTCCGACACGACATGTGTGTACCACGTCCCCCTCTCTTATTAAGCTAGAGCATGTTTGGATTAGATGCAAACCTCAATTAGAATGGGTTTTAACTGTAGTTAAGATATAAAATGTTAAAAAAGTTTTGTTTAGATTAACATGATTTTTCAACCTCAGTTGGCATGTGAACGTGCGTTAATGCAAAAGCTCATTCATCTGGCTTCTTTTCCTAAACATCAACGTTAATACCCCTTGGAAGCATTAAATGCATTTTAAATTTTGATGACTTCTCTCTCTTGCTTTTTATCTACCAGTTGCACCTTTCCTTTCCTTCGTGCATGGTGCCATGACCTCTAAAGCTGCTTTAAAGCCCACAAATCTACTTCTTCCTTCAAAACGTTCGCCATACACCTCGGAAGCTGCTTCACATATCAACTTCTTCCTTCCATTAGTCAGGCGACGCGCAGCTTATCTTTAAGACTCACATCTTTGTGCTTTTAAAATGCTCGCTCGCAGATCTGCTTCTTCTTCCTTCCGTTAGTCAGGCAATGCCATCCAGTAGCTCATCTCTACTATGTTGAAGCACCTCTGGCCAATCTCTAGCTCTCCATTATCCTTTCTAGCTTCCACCGTGTCGGAGGTCTGAAGTGGTTCTTCTCCTTATCGCATCTCGATCTCTACCGTGTCCACCAGATCTACACTTCCCATCATTGGATCTACTCCCCATCACCTGTCCTTACCAAGTAAGGTTATTCTTTTCGTCTCCTTCCTTCCTGTCGTGCTCTACTGTTCCTTCTTTGCCTCGTTTTTTTTCTTCCTTGACTTGAATGCTTGGTGATGATCCCCGGTGGTGGCTGTTTCTGGAACTCGAGATTGTCATTTTTTTCAATCCCCTACAATGAGAGATGATATCTATTTCTCGGTTGAACTGATATGAGCAATGAGAAATGATGTTTCTCTATTTTCAGAAATGATTGTCAGTGGCCGTTTCTGGGCTTCCTTGCACTAAAGTTGAATGCAGATAATTCTGTCTATGACCCGCATAATTACAAGTAAAGAAAATGGATGGAAAATGATGGGTAGATATAATATTCAACTCTATTGTATCCTAGATAGAACACTGCTATGTCATTTGTTAAGAGATAAAAAAGCAAGCTGTAGGAGAGTGGGAGAATTTTTTTCTTTTTGTGACAGGGGAGAGGAATATGGGAAATCCATGACTTGGGTAGTGAAGAATGGTATGAGGTGATAATTCAACCCTGGCACGTTATATCTCACCTCAACCTTTAATTGATGTTTATTTTAGGTGAGTTATCAGTTTAATGTCATTGACCTGATTGATACATTTAAAAATATGGCATATAGCTCTCTTCTAAGGAATTTCTTGATAAAAAGGCTCCATGAATTTGAAAAATGCCAAACTGAAAATAGGAGTCTTTTGGTAAATTGATACATTTATGTAGAGATATATATTGATTTTGCATGTTTGTGATGGTTGGCTAGTCTATACAATAATGAATAGCGACAAAGGAAAAGCTGTGTGGAATTCAACTTTGACAGAAATTTTCATTAATGAATACTTAGAACAAGTGTACAAGAAACAAAGGAAAGGAACTGCCTTCAACAAAAATGGGTGGTAGGCAATAATTGAGGGATTTGAGGCAAAAACAGGAAAAAAGTATGAGCGAAAGCAATTGAAAAATTCAAAATGATCCACGGTATTGGCTATTCTTTAAGGATGCTATAAGAGCAATTGATGGCATTCATGTACCATGCATGGTTAGTATTGCTGATCAAATCAAATTTATTGAAAAAAAGGGATATGCAACACAGAATGTTATGGCTGTATGTAATTGGGACATGTGTTTTACTTTTTTCATTGCGGGATAGGAAGGTACGGCTCATGATGCTCGAGTATTTGATAATGCCATATCAACTCCTTCAATGCATTTTCCACATCCACCTCCAGGTATATTTTATTAAAGTCACTATAATTATTATTGTAATGATTTAATGTTGGTCAAATTTACATCACTTCTTTTCATTTAATAAGTAAATATTATTTAGTTGATTCTGATTATCCAACACTAAATGGATATCTTAGTCCATATCGTTGCAAACGTTATCACCTTCTAGACTTTAGGCGAGTTGCAGGATTTGCAAACAATAATGAGGTCTTCAATTATTATCATTCAAGTCTAAAATGCACTATAGAAAGAACTTTTGGAGTATGAAAGAATAGGTTTGCAATTATAGGAAAAATGCCCAAATTTAAATATAAAACACAAGTTCAAATTGTTTGTGCAACAATAGCAATACATAATTTTATTAGGAGAAATTCAATTACTGACAAACAGTTCATACGAGCTGAAGATGAAAGTGTAGAAGTCCAGAAAAAAGATACCGATATTGGTGAAATATCCTCGTCAAATCTACCTGGATCATCAAGACAGATGCAGCGTGTTTGTGATATAATTAAAGATCAACTTGTAAATTATATTAATTAAATATTAATTTATTTTAGGTTTTCATGGTTGAATATTTAAGATATTTTACTTATTAGTTGTGATTTTAAGTTTAATATTTTTTACTTATTAGTTAGTCAAAAAAATATAAACATGCTTATTTAAGATTTAATATTTAAAATAAAAAATCCATGCTTATTTTTGCCATTAAACATCTCAACTGGCTTTTGAATTAAACTATTCAAATGAATTTCAGTTTATCTGATTGACTTTTGAAAAAAATGGTATCCAAATATAAATCGCGTTACATCAACTGACTTTTCTTCTAACCTCAATTTGCTAACCTCAGTTGAATCATAACTTCAGTTGTAAATTTTTTAATCCAAACATACATTTAAACTCACTCAATTTGTGATGGATACAGACTGAAGTTAACCTTGTCATCTGCCACAACATTGAGAATGGGCAAGCTATTAAGGAATTCATCGAGACCTTCAAAAATTGCATTTCCTTCTAGCTTAGCCACTGCTTCCAGAATTGTTTAATATATTTAACATTCTCATCTTTGCCAGAATGAACTCAAGTTTCAAGATTTGAAATTATCTGGGATATGAGGGTCAGAGATCATCAACAATGATTTGTTTGAGCGAGTGGCGATGATACTTGTCTTGAAATCTCATGTTCAAATCTTACAATATGCAATTGCATTAAATGAAAATGTCAAAGACATTCTCGAGGTATTTACAAAAATAGAGTCAGTAATAATAATCCCATACAATAGGAATTCAAATTAGTTTGAACAGGTGGTGATAATATAATACTTTAAGGTTTTTTAAGGTACTGATCCCGTGATAAAATAAAACAAAAAAGTAGATGTTAAAGGGGGGAAAAAAAAAGAAGGCAAGTCAGAGATGAGAAGAAAGGGAGAGTATTTTAGAATGTTAGATGAATTAACTAGATTGGGGCATATAGTGAGAGAGGCATTGCAAAAGCCTGGTTTGTAATTGTTTGAAGTGAGCAATCTGTGATTGCAGATGCTGGTTCTGCTTCTTCAGGTCTTGGTTCTCCTGCACCATCAATTCCTCATTTCGCAATTCTTGATTATTATTGCTTTCCTCTGAAGAAGACTTCAAGTACGAAGGGAACACACTCGGCTCGCACTTCTTCCTCGTGATCTCCGCCAGCAACTTCTTGCAACCCCTCTGAAATTTCTCCTGCTTGAATTCCCATCTCTTTGATGATACTTTCTTAAATCCCTGTAATTTATAATCATGGAAGGTCACCACTTGATTATTTATAATTCAGCCTCTGATTTTTGTGACTCAATTTTAAATTTTAGAAGTCGTTGTGATTCTTTCATCTATATATATATATATATATATATAAAGAAGTACTATTTTGATTCATAATTATTTTTTTAAGATTAATAAGAAAAAGGAAAAATCACAATCAAGAATCACTGAAGACAATTAATTAAGTTGCAAAATTAAATGATTTTAATATTACTTTGCAAGACTAACAAACTTAAATTGAATTAAAATTTGTTATGAAAAAATAAAATTACCCATCATGTGTGTATGCGTATGTGTATATATATATATACACACACTCTTCTAACAACTTCTCATTTAAAAAAATATATCATTTTTATTTTAACAGCAATTAATTTTTCTTATTAATAACTCTAAATACTTGACTTGATAGTGAAAAGAGACAAGTACTGTAATTTGTCATACAAATCCCTATTTAAAAAAAATTATATTTCTATTTTAACAATAATCAATTCTTTTATTAATAATTTTAAAAAATTAACTTGATACTGAAAGGAACAAATGTTATGATTTGATGAATAAGTCTTTATTTAAAAAAAAATTTACATTATTATTTTAATAACAATTAATTCTTTCATTAACAATTATAAAATATTAACTTGGTAGAAAAAAATTGTTGTAACGTGATGAAAAAGTTTTTATTTAAGAAAAAAGTTTTATTTTTATTTTAACAATAATCAATTCTCCCATTGCAAAAATATTCATCGAGGATAATTTTATTTTTTTATAATAAATTTTAATTATATTTAGATTCTTTGATCCTACATTATAATATTAGAATCATTTGATCTTATGGTATAATTAATTGTCTTCAATGGTTGATTGTAATTTTTTTAAAGAAAAAAAACATGTTTTTGTCATTACGAGATGACAAATTAAACTGCAATTATATATTTGACCATTGTGACGTGCTGATCTAAATCATTATTAAAAAGTCAAAAATGATCATTCCTCAATTTGTCGAGCCATTCGGCATCAATTGAGCAATTTCTGTAAATCTTTCTTTGTAAATCAAATAGACAAATGTCATCATTCAGGTAAAAAAAATAAAATCCTATAGAAACGTAAAAAGCACAAATCGCTAAATGTCAAACCCTTTCTTTATGCGTAACAAAGGTTAAAAACATGGACATTTTTCGTAAGAACATTTTTATTTGTGCACGATCACATTCATTTAATATTATTAATTTTTTATTAATATTAATATAAAATATATCACACATCTTACAAATATATATATTTGGTTGGAGAGACTTCTCATTGGTTAGACAAAAATGGAGGGAATGAGTACGTCAGACTGAAGGCTTATTTGGTCTACAAAGGCGAAGGGAAGGGACAGATTTAAATATTATCTTTTTTAATTTGATAATTAAATATACAGTAAAATACTTTGACTTTCTCTCTATCTTACCTTAATTATAATTACTTCTCTTCTATTTTTAAAATCTATGTGAACTTTCCTAATATCAGTAATTACAAAACATAAACTTCCCTTCTATTTTTAATATTTTATTTTTAATTTTTATCCACTTAATCTTATTTGACTATTAAGTCACATATTTTACCAAAATACTCCTCTTTAAATATATATTGTCAAAAAATTATTCAAATTATCCAAAAAAATTAAGGCATAAATTGTTTATTTTCATTATTTTAAAATTTTCATTATTTAATTGTATTAATTTAGTAATTTTTAAAAAAATTAAATACATAAATTGGTTAAAATAATATCCAAACCCCTAGTTCAAAAAACTTAAGAAATATTTTAATAAAAAATAAATGAAATAATAATTGAATATAATAAATTACTTAATATAATTTATGTTTATTTTTTAATTCCATTAATTTTAGCATAAAATTTTTAAATTATTTATTTAAATATTGAAAATATTAATTATTTAAATTTTTTTAAAATTAGGAGAGTGGGTAAATTATTAGATCATCAGCACAAATTAATAATTTTAAAAATTTTAACGTAATTGCAAATAAAAAATTAAAAATTTTAAAAATTTTAATTTAATATTCCTAATTCAGGATTGGACAAAAGTGTAAGTTTTAAAACTAAAGAAAATGTGTCTATAATGTTCATAAAATGGAAAGGAAGTCGCTATATTTTACTCTAAAATATATTATACGTTGTATATGAATTTCAAAGTCAGTATAAAATATAAAAATTTTAGTACCTTTTTGGTGGTAGGAAAGAAATAGAATAAAATGTATGAATAAAAAATATATATAATAAACTAAGATAAGGTAATAGATTGATAGAGAAATGAAAAATGATTGGGATATGTGATAGAGAAACTAGATCAGAGTTTGACAGGTATAATAAAACGAAGAATTAAAATTGACATAAATAGAGTTGTTTATTCTTATTCTCACTTATCTATATCATTCAATAACTCTCCCTCTCTCTATTATTCTTTCATTTCTTTCAATTCATAATTTTATTTTAATTCATTTTATTCTCAATAATTAACCTAATTATTTCATTCCATTTTATTTCTTTTTAACAAGGGCTAGCCATTAATTAGCAAAACACATGAATCATATATACTTGTGAACAATATGTAATGAAATGTAAATCTTAGTTTAATAAATTAAGTAGTAAAAACAAAATTTATTTATCACAATTCAGATACCAAATGATTCCTCAGATCTAGCTCGAGACATAAATTATTAATTCATATTTAAGAAGAGAGAGAATGAAATTGTTAAAGAAAGAACATGACTTACGTAGGTGTTCAATTGGCGGATGAAACTAGAGAAGTTATTGTGCTTGAAGTATCTGGGCAAGATCATCTCTGAGAATTCTGCTGGACGCCACACAACAAAACCATCTCCTTCCTCGTTCCACGTCACCACCGATCTCTTCCTCTCTTCTGCTTCTCCGCCTTCTTCCACCAAATCATACGTCTTCACCAGAAACGGCGCCACGCACCGCCCCCTCGGTGACTGGCCGCTGCCGCTGCCGGAGGCCGAGGAGGCCGCAGCGGCCGTGTTGTTGTTGAGCTTGAGCTTCGTCGATCTTTCTGCCATGTATATATAGCTAGCTCTTCATTTGTGCCGTCCAAACAGGTCCTTGTTCCCTGCCATGTGCTTATATACTACTTCTGGTGTCCTCGGTGGTAGATGAAAAACTAGCTATCTAGTGCCGTGTTTGGTTGGTAGGACTGTTTTCTTTTTTCTTTTTTTTTTTAATTTCTTTTTTGTCTTCTAATTGATTATTCTCCAAATTTCTTTTTGCTTTCTCCAGCTTTCTTTCACTTTCTGTTCCGTGCAAGTCCATGTAGAATAGGAGGATGACCCACACTTATTGAAAATTTTTTTTTGGGTTTAGTATAATAATGTGCTTTTAATTTAATTATACTTTTGATGAGTTAGGTAATTGTTTTTTTAAAATTATACATTCTTTTTATATTTATTTTTGTTTAATAGAGTGTCTCAATTAAAAAAAATTAATTACATGACTTAATTAAAGTTATTTTAAAAAATTATTAATTACGTCTTGAAAGAGTCCAAATATATTTTTTTTTAACATGATATTTAAGAAAATGTCTTATGATACTGAAGAGATAGAGTATTTTTATATATTTTTTTTAATGAATTAGAAGGGTTTGAATCATTGACCCAACCCAAGCTTGCTATATAATTTAATCTTTTTTTTTCAATATATAAGTTAATCATCAGTGGCAGTTTTGATATTTATTTAATTTTAATCTAACTGATTTTGTTCAAAAAAAATTAATCTAACTGATATAAGAAATATTTCTATTTTTAAATTAAAAGGGGCTAAACCAATTCCTGTGAGATTGACAACCCACCAGGCCACCACGACCGTCCATATAAGACAATTGCTTTGCCACTAGGTCAGTGCATATTTTTAATTTCAACTTGAGCCATCATTTTTAATATATCTATTAAAAAAATTTACATTTCTGTACTTTACTTGTTTTTAAAATAAGAAATATAAACTCTATGCCATTGAATATGGGATCCAAATTAGGTATGCTTTGAGAAGAATTAATATATATGACAAAATTTAATGTTTGTGTGTTGTGCTTTGGAAGAGAAAAGGCAGGGGTGTGATGTTTTTATATTAGTCAGAATTAGGAAGTTTCTTGATAATATATGCCGTGTGATAGCTTGTGTTCAACGTGTTTGACCTTTGAATAAAGACCAATAACAATAGTTTGTGTGAATGCTGTTTAAGTTATGTGTGTGGGATGAAATCATTTCATTCATAAATATTAGAATTAAAGAGCATTTTTATTTTTAAATTATTTGCTCCAAAGTGCAGGGATGGATCTAGAAACAATGGTGTGGGAGGCTAAAATGCAAACTTGCATAATAGTGGGGAAAAATTACTTTTAGCATTTTTACAAGTAAAAATCAAGTAAATTGTGCAAAAACTTTGCCACATCTTGTCCCTCTAAATACGTCACTGCAAAAGAGTCTAATATTTTAAACTTATATATAATACAATTTTATCCAATAATATTTGAAAATGATAAAGTGAATATTTTGTTATTAAAAATTTAACTTTGACCATTAATTAATTTAAAAAATTATTAAAAAACCAAAAATTACAAAAAAAGATTCAAAAAATTGTAAAAAAGTACTCTGTAAAAAAATTAATATCAATTAAGTTTCCTAAATTAAAAAAAAATATAATATTTTTAATTATTCATTGGTATTATTGCTGGTAGTTGTGGCTCATTAATTACCAAATAGCATAATATTTATAGGGGACTTAATTTACATTATTTTTATAGGGTACTTATGGATAATTTTTTGGACATTTTTCTTTAATTTTTAAGTTATTTTTATAATTTTTTGAGTCACTTAATGTTGAAAGTTAATTTTTTAAGAGCAAAGCGTCCAATGCACTATTTTTAAATGTTGAATTATAAAGTTGAATTACATGTAAGCTTACAATACCAATATATCTATTGAAGAAATGAAGGGTGGTAAAATTTTTGGATAATTATTTAATTGCCTTAGCTTGTTATTTGCATACATCACCAATAAATTTAATATTGAAAGTTATTCATGGGGATGAAGTAAAATCAATAATTCAACACTTCATCTGACAATGTTAAGTAATAATAAAAGTTATAAAGAGCTTGTTTGGTTTCTGTTTTTAACAATTATTTTGCAAAATAATTTTGTAAACCATTTTTCAAAATAAAATAAAAAATAATTTTTTGATTGTATTAATTTAAAATTTAATTTTATAATTAAAAATTAGCCGATAGTGGTAGTCGCTAGTAGTTAATGATGGTGACTTATGATAGTAATTAACCAATGAGACTAATGTTTTTAATAATAAAATATAATGCATTTTGAAAAAAAAATGAAAACAGTTTTAAGATGTTTTATTTTTTTTAAAATAAAAAATGATAATAATTTTAAAAATAATTAAATTCAAAATATTTTTTAAATAAGTTTTTTATTTTTTAAAAAAAACGACAAAAATATTTTTCAAAATAGAAACCTAACATGCATTAATTTAACTTTTAAAGTTTTATTTTTTTTTATTTACATGTGTTACATCTATACTAAAAAACACTCCTCAGCTTATCCTTTGTCCCCCTCCCCCCCCCCCAACACACACACACACACACACATGCAAGTTATTAACGTGAATATTGAATCTGGATTTCTTGAAAAGCATATAATGTTGAAATTGGTTGTTCTTGAACAATCCAATTCACGTTCAAACTATATAATCAATTGCAACCGACTTCATAACCATAAATAAAGTCACATATCAACTTAGAATAATATAAGAAATTGAATGCAAAAGCATACCTAAATATATCATTTTGATTCGATCTCTAATTCCCGAATGTACGGATGTGTTTTCCAAATTGTCATCAGAGGGAATTTCCGAAATGTCTGAAAGATGGGAATAAAGAATATTTCTAGCCAACGGCCAACTCAATAACCAACTCCTATTTATAGATTTAAATTCATAATATTTACAATCTGACCCATCAACAAATTACAAAATTCACGTCAATCTCTACTTGATATTAATTCCATGGCAGTAGTTACACGCATAAGTTTCAAAACTTCAATATGATCTGAATATATAACTTTATTTAAGCTCAATTAAATAACGACTACATATTTTTAATACTCCTTCCATTAAAAATACAAGGCATTTTTTAAAAAAGTTGTATATTTAAAAATATAAGTCATTTTTAAGTCTTTCAAGATGTAATCATTATCTTTTTTTTCAAAATACCTTGATTGATGATAACTTTATATTTATTATAAAGTAGTTAATAGGGGTAAATATAAAAAGATAGGGTTATTTGAAAGTTGGTAAGAACTTTATTAAGAGGTAATATTTAATTAAAAATATCTTATATTTTTTAATAAAGAGAGTATTTACATTCTTAGTTAATATATATGTTGAATTTTTTCTTGATATATAATTCATCCAAAAAAAAAAAGGAAGAAGAATGAATGAATGAGAGGTACATCTTAAATATTAAAATAATAACTGTTGAGTTCCTGAAAAATTTTTTAAAAATAAATTAAAAATATTAATTTAAATAATTATAAATTTAAAAATTTTAATTGCAAATAAGAATTTTAATTTTAAAAATAATTTTTAAATTATAATAAAAATTTTTATTTATAATTATTTAAATTAATATTTATAATTATTTTTTTACTTACACGAAAAAATTGCATGCGATCCTTCGTATGGGGCCCATTCCGAAGCTGTTCCCCGAATTTAATTACTTCACGTGAACACTGGTGAGGTGTCAGCTGGTTGTTTTGTTATTTATTGTACTTGTTAGTTGTTTCCACACCTTTGGTTATTTTCTTGTGCCACCACGTTTTAATTCTTGCTCTAATGTACAGTTGTGCCATGTTCTATCCTGCTTTTCCCTGCGTCTTTGATTTTTCTCACGCGTGCTGTAAGTATCATGCTTTAATTTTTCTTGTGCCACCTAGAGTTGGTAAATGGGCTCGGTATTTATGGACTTAGGTGCTAAAATTTAGTTATCTCAATTTTATCTTAAAATTAAAGTCCGGCCCTTATTTATAGGGCTCAGGCCAGACCCATAAGCCCGAATAAGAATAAAATAAAATAAAATAAAATTTAACATTAAAATTTATTTAGAATATTTTAAAATTTAACATATATCAAATCAAAGTCTCATATAATCTAAAAAATGAACAAAAAATTTAAAAATCCAAATAAGATGAAGGCAAACATCATCATCAATCCTAATCAAGATCTCCCTCATTATCATCCATAAATAAAATATTAAAACCCTCAGATGTAGGTCTACTTGTGAAAGATGGAGGCGGAGGCTCAATATTAATTATTTCTGCAGCTTCTTCATCATCACCTGCAATAATTATTAATTAAATTATTTTATTATCAAATATATATCTATACATATATCACAAAATAAAATATAAAAATTACTATAAAATGGCACAAAACAATTCAACCAATTGCTGGTACAAAATACAAATCAATGTTTGCACATTATCTGAAAAGAGGTAAAAAAAATACTTTGTACATAGTAAAACGGGCTTTACGGGCCGCCCGAGCCCGAGCCCGTTTTTCTAGAGTTTAAAAGGGCCGAGCTTCGAAGCCCGGTTACCCTAAAAAATGCCAAATTTTTAAGCCCGAACTCTTATTAAAACGGGCTTAAACGGGCGGCCCGTCAAGCCCGACCCTTATTCTCGACTCTAATTTTTTTATTATTTGAGAGTTTTATAATTAAAAAAATGATTTTATATGAACATTATTTAAGAATTATTATAAAATAAAATGGATTGAATGGAAGGGTTTAAACTTGTTTCTTTCAAAATTATTTATATGATTAAATTTAAAAAAATAATAATTCTCATTAAATAATTATATTGGCAGAAATCAAACTTTGCTTTGTTTGAACATGTGCAATTTTTTTTTACATTTTAAATTTTTTATGAATAATATTTATCTTATGACATTATTTTTTGTTCACTGTTATCATAAATTATATTATTTTTGTGATCTTTTATACACTTTTTATCATTATAATTTTTTAAATCTATTTCACAATTTTAATTTTATTTTTATCAG